CTGCTCTTCAGTACTCTTGAGAGGTCCCTCACAGCTGCCTTTCCCAATGCAATTTGTCTCCTCATTTCCTGGCTGCTGTTACCAAGAGTGTTGACTGTGGAACCAAGTAAACTAAAACTGTTAACTATTCTCAATCTCTTCACTATCCATGCCAGTGCTGCCTATTGGCCCAGTGGTGAGAATCTTTGTTTTTTTGATATTGAGCTTCAATCCTTATTGAAGACTGCAGTACTTGACCTTCTGTAGCAAGCGCTTCAGGTCCTTCTCAGTTTCAGCAAGCAGGGTTGGTGCCATCCACATAACGCAGGTTGTTTATGATTCTTCCACCAATCTTGATGCCACATTCCTCCCTATACAGCCCAGTGTGTTGGATGATCTATTCTGCATACAAATTCAGAAGGTGTGGAGACAAAATACATCCCTGACGGACCCCCTTGATTTTGAACCATTTAGTGTCTCCGTGCTCAGTTCTGAAGACTGTCCAACATAGGTTTTGCATTAGCATAATCAAATGTTCTGGTATTCCCATTCTTCTCAGAGTCAGCCATAGCTTGTGATCCACACAGTCAAAAGCCTTTGCATAGTCAGTTAAGCACAGAGAGGAATGTAATTCCTGTCTTCTTATAACATCTCACTCATTAGTTTAGCAGTCTACTCTGATTGGACCCATTGGGTGAAAACTAATATCGGTTTATCTGTTAAGAACTTTGTTTTCTAGTTGTTGTTGGGTGCTATCTCGTCAGTTACAATTAATAACAACACTCTTAACAGTAAATATCAACCTTGCACTGTCCTACTGTCATCCTTACAGTCTGCTAGGCTCATTGTTGGCTGTCACTGTATCAATATCTTGTTGAGAGTTTTTCTTACATTTTATATAAAAAGTGACATAAAATTTCTTTTATCTTCGCCAGAAAAAGAGAACGAAGAAAAACAAATTAGTTTTTTAACCTTAAGGGTTTTCCGCTCATTAAGACCCTTTGTTTACTGTTTTCTTTCATGGGACTTGATGCAACAGAGATCTTCAAAACGCATATTATATGAATTATGATTTTCATGCCTGTTATAAATTGGAGGAACTGGAGGAACTGCTGGGGAACATTTATTCCAGGAAATACTTAATTATATTAATCAGAATAACTTTCATGAACTAAGATACCATTTTTTAGGAACATAAGAGGTTACATTCTACTAATATGAAATACATTTTCATTGTAGAATTTATGCTAAGTGAATACAATAACATTGCTTTCCTTCTATATTTCATATTATAGATGATGAGTTATTTAAAAAGAAAATAAAATTAACCACTGATTTTATTCATTAAATCTTTAGGAAACAATTTGAAGAAGTGGCTTCTTTCTTTAATGTGTCTTCTATACTGGAATTTGCAGAACATGTAACTAATGCAACATCAGAAGAACGGCAGAAAATTCTCAGTGACTTTTATGCTTCTCAATATCCAGAAGGAAAATATTTTTTTGTTGTATCTGCTTCAGAATTAGCCAAATCTACCCATACAAAAGGAGAGAAAGTTAGGAATAAATTAGGAGAAAAAGAATCTCTCGTAAAGGAAGGGCTATTGTCTTCTGAAACTTTGTCATTTGAAGAGTCTACTAGCAAATGTTCTCAAGATTGCAGCCCAGAAATATATAAAGAAAAATCAGTCAGGTTTCAAAATTATGAAGTCTGTAGAGAAAAGACATTTTCTAATGATTCAGAAACTAAGATGTTACTTGTTAATTTTACTCAAGAGATTGGCAGTGGGATAAAAAGCCAGCTGTCCAAAAATAGTGTGGCATCTTGTTACCTAAACTGTGACTCTGAAGCATATGATAGAAAGTTAGAAAATATGAAGGACCAACGGGATTTAACAAAAATGTGTGTTTCAATAAATGGACCCCTTTGCAAATCAGAAACCAAAAAGATAGACAATCCAGTATTAGAAAACACTTCTGTGGGAGAGTTACTTGGTGACACCTCTATTCTTAATGACCTCTTTAAAAGTCATGAGAATAGCCTCACACAACTGCCAAAGAAAGTTCTTTTAGAACCCATAGAAAAAGCAAAACAGAGACCAAAAGATTTCTGGGACGTGTTGAATGAACAGAATGATGACAGTCTTAGTAAACTCACCGACTTGGCAAGAATAGAGACTTTATGTGAAAAAATGCCCCTTGCTGCATCTTCCAAAAGGGAAGAAGAGCTAGAAACTTCTCTTTGGAAAGCAAATGAGAATTTTTTGTGGAAAAAAACTAACTCAGATAATCCAGATTGAAACACAGCCAGTATGTAGAGTGATGCATAAACATGAATTATTAATTACTGAGTAAGTGAACTTCTGTCATAGATGTTTACAACAATGTACTCTCTACAAGTGATACTACTGTGAACATATATTGTCAATATCTATTTTTAGTTAAATTTTTCCTTTAGGATATTTTAAGTCTACAACATTACCATGTGGTGTTTGTTTTCTTTGATTGTATCATAGTATAAACCTTTGTCATGAAATGTAAACTATCAGAAGAGCTGGGCATCACTCTAGCTGTATTATTATGTAACTTTAGGTTAGTCACTTATTCTCTGTGTGCCTTTTCTGTGTAATATGAAAGATGAAGGTTTGCCCAATATCATCATGAATGTCCTACTTTGAAAAAGTTTTTATTCGCTTTCCCATATTCCATTAAATTGTAGGAAAAATCATGTCTACTGCTAAACAAGTGCACATTGATGTTTCTTTTTATTTATTTTCTTGGGATTTTTGTTGTTGTTTTGTTAATTCCACTTTTTTTTTCTTCCCAGCATTTGGAAAATCACTATTTCCTTAGCCATCTAATGGTTCAATAGTAGTATTATTTTTTATAAGAGGTGAATTGTTATTTTTAACCTACTTGTATGTTAAAATAATAGTTTTAACTTTATTAATGCTAATGTAACATACCATTTGACACAAAACATCAGTGCCTTGATTTTTTCACAATTATTTGATTAATATAAAGAGTTGTATAATGCTTTTGTATTAAGTACTAAAAATAAATATTTTGTTTTATTTGGAACTGTTTTATTAGTTGAATTTAATTTATATGGTTTATAACTAGACTAGAATATAATTTTTTAAATGTTTCTTTAGAAACATTCTTAGTCCTGTGTATGCTATACATGTAGTACAAAGCATGAGTACATACTGTGCTGTGAGCTCAAGATATACAGATGACGCATTGCTCCGTGTGAAAGAAATGGAATTGTGTATGGAAAGCCCCTCACATCATGTCTCACACCTTATAGGCTTCCTGCCACATGCAGTGGACCTTTTTTCCCATTGAGCTAACAGGGCTTTAGTAAGAGCAAGTAAGTACCTACCCAAAAATATCATTGAGCTAAGAAATGACCCAGTTCAGCAATCATTGCTATTATGCTGATAAGAATGGGTCTTTTTTTTTTTTAATGATTAATAGATTTATTTAAACAATAATACACAGTCATCTCTGTCACACTTAATATAAGATGTTAATGGTCATTCCCATTTTCCTTCCTGGATAAGTTTTTCTTTTCTATCTCTCTCGGTTTTGAAAACGTAGTACCAGAAGAAGAGGGGCCCAAGGCCAAACACAGCTCCTATGAGAGAGAGCTTGGGAGTGGGCCTGAAATTGGGATATACATTTGCTGATCTTGCATATGTCCAACGAGTCAAGGCAGGATCTTCAATGATCGTCTTCCGGTTGGGGTCATTGAGCTGAAGCAGATACTCCCGTTTAAGCCGGGATCTAATGGCCAGCCGCTTGGCTTGAGCCCGCTGGGTCTCTGGAGAAATGTCGTATTCGGCTGGGTCGAGGGTAGTAGGTAGAGTGGCCAGGCACTATGGCTTGTACTTGGGGAACGACGTCTTGGCGACCGGGCCAAGAATGGGTCTTTGATGTACCCCAGCTACAGGCAGACTAATTAGAAATGGGAAAGACATTAAATATTTTCCTAAGAGACTGATGGAATGAGTAAATTTTCCTCTGGAGCAAGTGTTGGTCGACTTATTTCCAGGCATTTGTGGCTAGATTCAAATGAGCATCTACAATGAGCATATTAAGGCATGAAGCAGCTGGTTTGCATGCATTCCTGCATGTAGTTATTATAGTGAGATAATTGCAAGGGGAAAATACAATACATAAGTGAAATAATGTAAATGAAAGATTATATAAAACACAGTGTGCATGCATGAAACACAATGTATGTAAATGATAAAAATATTAATAAATAGTAACTAGACCGAAGCTTTGCATAACAGTGATGTTACTGATCTACCAGCTTGAAAAGCCACTGGAGGATCAGCTATGAATAGGTTCTGACTCCAGGGCAGTAAGTATGACAAAGATGCATAAGCTGTCTTCTCTTTGGATAAATAAAAACTTGCCTGAATATTGCTAAATTGTATAAAAGTAATATACTTGACACCCATGTTTATTGTGGCTTTATTCACAATAGCAAGGGATTGCAAACAACCTAAGTGCCCATTAACAAATGAATGGATAGAGAAGCTGTGGTATATTCACACAATGGAATACTACGCTACATTGAAAAACAAGGAACTCATGCAATGTTATTCAAAACGGGTGACCTGGAGGACAATATGCTGAGTGAAATATCTCAGTCACAAAAGGACAAATACCACATAGTGCCACTGTTATAAAACAGGATTGACATTAGGGTTGAGGGGAGACTGAGAAAGATGGGATAAATAATGTATACTGCATTGAAACAGATGAGGGAGAAAACTGTTTAAAAGGATTATGTGATTAGGTATTATTGTCATGACAGGAGTCCAGAACGAAGGCTGCATAGTGCAGTGGACCTGGGGGGAGGGATTGTAAAACAATGAAAGAATTTTTCTTTTAAAGAAAAATGAGTGTACTGGGCGGGGGGTGGGGGGCCAGGGAGAAATGTGCAACAGTGAATGAATGGAAATCCAAATACCCCCCCCAAAAAGTAATGCATTTGCTTCTTAACCAAATTAGAATACTCAGTTGTCTTAATAAGGTATTTCTGGTTTCTCTCTGCCCCCCCCCCCGAAAGAGCCCAGGAAGGAAGAGCAGAGGCTTACCTTGATAACTCTCACTCCTTTGATCTATCAAAACATATGCCCCTATGCGCCTACAGTTACCATCTGGGAAGATTTTGTAAATTTTTTTTTAATGGGAGTTTAGGTACATGACTGGAATCTAAATGCAAACTCTGGGAAATGATCGGGTTTATCTGTCATCTCAGGTTGAAGGTGTCAAAGGGTGCCCGGGAGCCTAACCTCTCTGAGCCTAGACTGCAAGCCTCCACAGTGGTCACTCACTCACTTCTCACAGCAATCAGCTGGCACAAGAAGGTCCTCCTTATCAAGATTTATGTGTGTGCACTGCCAAGCTGCTCACTTTCATAGCTGCCAATTCCCAGCTCTGCCCACTCTGGTCACTGGGAAACACATCAGAAACCTGGCAGGGCAAACCTCTGTCCTCCCAGGTTGAAAGAAAAGACATCAATCTTCACTACCCTGAAAAGCGAGGTCCCACAGAATGATATGTGGGAGTCTGGGGAGTCTGCCCTCTCACCAACACAGAAGGGTCAAGATGGGGCAGCTGCAGTTCCTCAGGGCTCTCAAAGGAGCCGTGACACCACCCCATGAGCTCGAAAGACATCTCAATTGCTCAGGCATACAAATACATCTGAAGGAGAAGGCAGCTAAAGGCTGTGACAGTGTACTTGAGCCCCTTGCCTAAAGCTTCCCCTTCAATGGCCTATCAAGGTACCTGAAATATTTTATACTTCTTGATATTTTTGCTAATGCAAAAGAGGTCCATTTTCACATGACTATGTTATGAGATTGATGGTCTAGTCCATAGAGAGTTGTTCTGCCAACCCCAAAAGCAGGTCTCTCTGATGGCTCAAATCCACTAGCAGCCCTGAGAGAAAATAGGCAGTCTCCTCCTGTATGATTTACAGCCTCAAGACCCAAAGGAGGATCAGTCACAATGTAGTTTGAACTTGACAGCAATGAAAATTAAATTTTATTTCTACTATTAGGGGCCCTAAAAATGTTCAACTTTCCTGCTATAAAGAGTTAACCTGGGAAACCACTGGAGGCTCACTATGAATGAGACTTGAGTGGCAGTGGGTTTTGGTAATAACAGCACCAGGTGACAATTTGTTCCACCACACAAAAGTTTGCTGGGTGTCAAAGTTGTGTCTTCTAGGTTGCAA